CGTAGATTTCGAAAATAGCGTCGTCTGTGTCATTTGAGGTCATTGTCAGCTGAATTTACCGGAGGTCAGGTCACTTTCAGGTCAGAAAAGGTCAAATTTTGAAAATGAAATTTTTCAACAAAAAAGGTGCCAATCAGATGCAATTTGAGGTCAGGAACACAATGGTGCCATTTATATTGCTCTACGACGTCAAAAACGTACTGAAAAATGGATTTGAAAAAAAACAAAATTGTAAAATTTTGACAATAATGCGAATAACTTGGCTATTTTTGAAGAAATTGGGATAAAACTTGCAAAGGTAGTTTATCAATGTGTGTTCTGTCACATATATTCCGGTTTTTGCGAAAAGTCAGAAACTTTTTTAAAAAATAAAAAAAATATATATTTTTTTTGTAATTGGAAATACATATTTTTTCAAAAAAAATATCAAAATTTCGGAAATTCGAGATAGCAGTTTGATAGCTACGTGTATTTGTAGTCCACTCATGCAAAGAAAATGGATCTAGCTTTAATACTTAGCTCTTGAGGGCGTTTGCCGTAATTTAGTATTTTGCATGAAAATCGGCCGACATGACGTCACTCTGACGTCATTTCCGACCAAAATATGGTAGCTAGAAAGTTGAAATTTTAACACAAGGTGTCAAATGGATGCCTCTGAGGGTACCGCAAGTTTCGTGTTGATCCGTCAAACGGTTTAGAAAATATTGCTGAAAAACGGGAGGGGGGCTCTGTAGAGCCCCCCCCCCCCAGTCATGCGCGGGTTAATCTTTTTTCAATGAGGTATGTTTAGAGCTATTGTGCCTATTTGTTTATACACTAAACAACATCGATGATAGACAGATAACTATTTCATGGCGTGCAAAGAAAGGCTGTTCAAGTTACCCAACGGTCGGGTTATTTAAATACACCGTGACTTGGCGGAGAAGCAAGGCTTTAATTTACATTTTTTTCAAAAATATGTTCAACTTGAAACTTGATGCACTCTACGGCAATGACTCTTGTCAAGTTGTTCGAAAAGTCAAGGCTGTTCAAGTTGTTCTTAGGAAAATAAAAATTGATTCCATCGGCTTCCACTCGCCAAACCCGCTTTCCCTATAGCTCAATCAAGGGATGAATCACTGGGTGGTTCTTTCGACCCCTCCTCATCCTCCTGCAATTTAAGTTAGCCGTTGCGAAGACACTAATTCATGTAGGGGCTCATTTTCACTTGTCCTTTTAATGTAATCGGTGACTTAAGCCAGCCGGCCAAATGAACAAAAATCCATACAAACCCAGGTGATGCCACGGGCCCACGGCCCTCATCCTTGTCAGTGTCCAGGATCCCTCGGCGGCGGCGGCAGCGGCGGCCCGCCGTGCCGTGTGCCGCGGCATGTTACCTCCCGCCGCGCCAGGGGCCGCTGGGCGGGACGCTACCCCCGCTGCGCCAGGCGACCCCCGGGCCTGGGCACCGCCGCGGCGGGCGACGGACGACAATAGAGCAAATGATGGGGCCGCCATTCAGCCGGCGTAGTGAATGGGTAAATCCTTACTCGATAATACAGCAGGGACTGCTCCACGAACACGGGCTGGCCGTGCGGTAGTAGACATTCGATGGAATAGGCGATTCGGGCGTAGGTCAGCTGGGCGTAGGTCACCCGGGCGTAGACATTCGACGGAGTAGGCGATTCGGGCGTAGGTCAGCCGGGCGTAGACATTCGATGGAATAGGCGATTCGGGCGTAGGTCAGCCGGGCGTAGGTCACCCGGGCGTAGACATTCGATGGAGTAGGCGATTCGGGCGTAGGTTAGCCGGGCGTAGGTCAGCCGGGCGTAGACATTCGATGGAGTAGGCTATTCGGGCGTAGGTCAGCCGGGCGTAGGTCAGCCGGGCGTAGACATTCGATGGAGTAGGCGATTCGGGCGTAGGTCAGCCGGGCGTAGACATTCGATGGAATAGGCGATTCGGGCGTAGGTCAGCCGGGCGTAGGTCACCCGGGCGTAGACATTCGATGGAGTAGGCGATTCGGGCGTAGGTTAGCCGGGCGTAGGTCAGCCGGGCGTAGACATTCGATGGAGTAGGCTATTCGGGCGTAGGTCAGCCGGGCGTAGGTCAGCCGGGCGTAGACATTCGATGGAGTAGGCGATTCGGGCGTAGGTCAGCCGGGCGTAGGTCACCCGGGCGTAGATATTCGATGGAATAGGCGATTCGGGCGTAGGTCACCCGGGCTGATCCCTGAGAAAATATTTGGCACGCTTGGCAACTTGAGTGCTACACGGACTTATACGCTAAACCTTTTCACATTTTCTGAAGCAGGAATCAATTTATGTCCTAGACGTCGCTGGCCGAGGAGAGTGCCTTCTCAGACATTATTTTTTTTCCAATTGCACGAAGCAAGCAAACAATCGTTTTTTTTAGATTTTCGAGCTTTTTCGAATGCCGCTTACCACGTGTCGCATACGTGGGCGTGGCCTGCAGGAGCCGAGTTAGTGGGGGGGAGAGGGAGGTGATTGGCGCCGAGCACCTGCTTGGCGCGGGTTAATAACTATCTTGAAAATATTTATAATTATAATATATGTTCAGATTATATTGACCTTATTGTTTTAAATCATACTGTGCTTATGATTATTACACGCAATATTGAAACTACTGTTAACGCCAGACCCGTTGAGACCCTAATTTTTCGCGATTATTTTTAAATGCATGAAATAATTTCAACCATATTTAAGAAATAGCTGTTTCAAGACCTGCCGAAACTTTTTCTTCAAATACGTTTTGTTGTCATTTAAATATTTGTGGCACTTGTAATTGACTCGTAATGTTAACTGTTTTTCCATCCTGGATAGAGGCTTTCATACGTCATATGATATTAGGCTCCGCCCACGACTGCAGCATTGACCCGTGCCCATCAGCGACCCTTGTTCACACGACTGTCCTGCCATCTGTAAAGGACTATGAATTTTGCTGACGCTTGACGTGCTATGTATCAATTCAAATTGCAGCAGACGGTCAAGTAGGTATTAGGCTCTTGTTGACTCTCGTATATAGGACCAAGAGAACCATCACTCCTCAACCTACTACTCACACATGCTTCGAACAAACGTTAAAGATTCCTAACAAATACGATTTTCGATGTAGGATATATGTTTGAAATACGAGCCTTATGCAATGCAATATGAAATACGAGCCTTATGATGTGAAGCGAAGGCAATTAACTAATTATTGCGTTGTTCGATGGTTGCATAGCGATGTACAAATCAGCAACTACTTAATGACATCCGACATCCCATTATCACATTATCTTTTAAATACAGGTGAATATTTCCTAACCTTATGTCAGGTATATGGCATCTGCCCGTCATTTGCAGCTTATGAAAAATAAAACAAATATCAGCGAACCTATCAGCATTGTACAAACAATGCGCATTGAGCATTTATGGCTCATCAGTCATCATGTCGCTCTTTGGGAACTGTCAGACAAGACGTTACGCACAACTCCGCCGGCTTTCGGCACCGCTCGACCGTCCCCGCTCCCCGCCACAGCGCGAGTGACCGCGCACCGGCCCGAAACCGCCGCAGGCCAAGACCACAGAGGCGGGGCTTAGCTTTGACGTCATAACGTATCACAGACTGACTGGTGATAGCCTCTACACAACGGGTGAAAATCTTGCTCGAAATTTAACATTACGAGTCAATGAGAAGTGCCTGAAATATTGAAATAGCGACAAAATATCTAAATTGTAAAAGTTTCGGCAGGTCTTGAAACGGCGATGTCCTGTGCTTGGTTGAAATTCTTCCACGCATTTAGAAATAATCGCGAAAAATTAGGGTCTCAAGGGATCTGGCGTTAACAGTAGCGCAGTCAAAGCACCCCGCAGTAGAGCAGAAAACATTATCAGACATCGTGCAGGCCCGGGCCGGCGTCAGATCACTGCCCTCGCCTCACAGCGACTTATGTTTCGGCCGCTGGTCTCGCCCGCCGGTCATATGTGCCCTTGACCTTTGACCTACGATGCGGGTCCTGGCTGAATTCCGTTCCGAACGCGCGTCCAGCTGCACCACGGTTGCTCTCGCCGGGCGCTGCGCCCGAGTGCCGGGTCATGCTTCTGACGTCAGAGGCGCCCGAGGCCGAAATCGCCGAACGCTGACCGACCACAGGTCACGTCCGCATCCCTACCCGCGCGTTTGAAACTCCCGGATGTCACAAGGCCCCGGATGTCAAACCTCTGGTCTATCGCACGGCTCGCCGAGCCGGGTATCTCGGTAAAACTCGGTCTCCGGTAGGGTATTCACACAGTACTGGAGCGAAGTGAGGATCAAGCTTAATTTGGAAGCAATAATACCTGTCGAACTCACAGTTTTGGACTGATTAACTTCAAACTTTCAAGATGCGCTACGTTCACCGAGTTGTATAACATATAGTTCGTTTTTTATGTCACTGACCTGAGGTCATTTAGAGGTCATTACGTCGTAATGACCTCTTGCCGGCCGAGAGGGTGGGGTGAGTGCCGCCCCCCCCATAGTTTTTTTTCGCGATAGCTCCCTCGAACACGCTGGCGATAGTGAGCTGAAACTTGGCATACATGACCTTTGATTCAAGCCGAATCTTTTGACACCAACCGCATTTTCGGGTCAGGTCAGGTCACTGACTTATGACGTCATAAGTGAACCTCTGCACGGTCTTCAGATGTCGCAACTTCGCAACGCCCTCACTGCCAGAGGAGCTTTCACAGGGAAATGAAACTTGCAGGATCTAGTATCCATTACAAGTCTCACAACTTGTATATCTCGGATTTTTTCCTAAAGGTCATATGAGGTCAGGTCATTTTCGTGACCTCACCATTATAAGTCAATGGGGAAAAATGAAAACTGCTATTCTGGCGCCGGGGAGACGAGATGTATTAAATTCCCCCCTTTTTCGTCGGGAATGCTGTACCTGGTTTACATGACCTTGCATGTCACTGTCCTTGTATTTGACATATCTGTGTCTGCTTCTCACACGGCTATGTCTGTGTCTCCCACAGGACGGCGCCTGCAATAAGCCGCTCGATGCTAACAAGGCTCTGTTGAAAGCCCTGGGAGCCACGGGCGCAGGCGCGGTTATCGTTGGTGCCGTGACCGGGGAGGTCAACACTACATGGGGCCGGGCAAAATCACAAAACATCATCCAGGATCAGAGCCAGACATCTTTCATAAAACAACAGCAAACAAATCAACTGACAGTTCATGAAAAAGTGACAAGTTTGACGACTGAAAAACAACGAGAACCAGATCAAATATCTTTCGAAGAAAATGGAGCCGGTCCAGTACCTATCCAGGATGGTAAGTATCAAGCACGGAGCCAGAAAAGCATGAGTCCGAGGAGTGCTCAGCAGCGCAGTGATCTGCCGAAACCTTCACCGGTCAGCGGTGCTGCCACTTCGGATCCAAATCAACAGCTAACTGGTGGTGGTGCTCCCACTGCAGCCGCGGTCGCTATTGGGACCGGTAGTACCACCGAAACCGCTCTAACGGCGGTGACGCTGCATCCCGACAATGAGGCCGCCACCACGATCTGTGTCGACGAACAGCAGCAGAAAAGTGCGCCATGTATAGATGGAGACCAATGTCATGAAGAAAACAGCAAAGACTGGTTCTTCAGCAAAGCTGAAGAACCATCCCACGCGATGCATGGAAGCCTACCGGAGGGCCTAACAACGGCAGTGGGGCCAGTCCCAAATAAAGGCACAGATGGCGTCATGACTGACAACGCCCATTCAGCTCAGCCTGAAAAAAACGACACTCTGGACCGAGAGTTCATCCAGTCTACCGAAGGGATTGATGATTTCAATCAAAGTGAAACAGGTTTGGCCAGTCCGTCCCTTAGTGTCTCTTCTATCATTGTCTGTACTAAAAAACCAAAGGTCGATGCTGTTCAAGCTTTCACAAGCAACACGGAAGACGTGCAACATGTACCAGGCAGACTGTCTAATGCCTCGGCTTCAGTCAGCACAGCCGAACTGAGACCTGTGAATAAGAATGAAGCCAGAGAAGAAGCCGACACCCTACACATTGTATCAACGAAAAAGAGAACCCTGCAAATAACGCCAGGGTATGACAAGTTTCCGAAGATTGTTGCAACAACTGAAGTTGGAAGACAGATAAGCCTTGATCGAACAAAAGTTGGAAAGCCAACTGCACATGAAGACGACAATGGCACACATTATGCTCTGTTTGACGCTGGTCAGAAATTCCAAGTCCGAGAACCAGGTGATCCCATGGAGAAGTGTGAAGACAATCTATTGGGTACGCACGAGTTCGCCACCGAGGCGGCTTGTGGTTCAAGCACCGATGTCCAGGAGAAGATAGATAGCTGCCAGTCATCAATCGCTAGCGTGAACGAGGAACTTGTCTTGGATGTTGACAGAATCTCTATCGGATCTCACGTTTGTCATGCAATCACGACGTCTGGTCTGGACCGTGGTATAAATGACACTAATGGTAATACTATGTTGTGTTCTAGTGATGTCCGGGGTGAAAAAACTAGCGGAGACACTCCACCTGATGTAGCTGTCACCAGCAACCTCCATGCGGAATCAACCAGTGATTGCAGTCACACCGAGCAAGAGGCGGTACCTATTTTGGGTACATATTTCTTTAGAACAAGCAGTTCAGGACAAAGGTTACCGGAAAACTTTCCGGAACCAGATAGATCGATTAGCGAAGGGCAGGGGTGGGAAGTCCAATGTGAAAGGAAATGTAATGCTGCAGTTTTCTGCGACAACTCGAACGGTGCAAAACCTATTGAAAATGAGGATATAGCACAGAACGTTTCAGAGCGAACCGAAGACTTTGACTTTGATCCACTGACGAGTCGGTCGCTTATTTTTCCAGAAGAACTGGAAGAACGCTCTTCACAGCTTTCAGAAAAACCAAGCTCACCGTTCCCAGACTTTGATGAGAGTGATGGCACCACCACCACCGCACCGTCATTCAATGAGATGGAGCATACACTGAGTGAGACTGATCGGGTCATTACACAAGAAGTGCACGTGACAACGTCACATGATATCAAAAGTCCTTCGAATGAGTCTTACAGTGCGGCAGAGGGAGATGAAATAGTATTCCAGACACATAGCATGGCAAATGATGTAAATACTCTCATAACAACAGCTAAAGAGGATGAGAAAGGAAATAAGGAACCTTCATATTGGTTAGGTTCATCTCGTATGACGCCTGCAGTACAAGCAAGGATGCATGAAGAAATGAAAAGTGGGTATGATGCACAAATTGTTACCCAAGATGAGTTTTTCCAAGATGATTCCGAAAAGTTTTCTCCCGAAACAAGCACACTGGAAACAATTGGTTTTCAACCTAAATTGAAAAATATTGAAAAGGCATGTGACGTAGGAGGTGAAGGAAAAAAGTTTGAACAACCGCCTTGCAACGCTGAAGAGCACGCAGCGACCAAAATCCAAGCTGGTATTCGTGGATGGCAGACACGACGGAAAATCCATCGCCAGCAAGCAGCCGCCACTAAGATTCAAGCAGGATTCCGTGGCTGGCGAAAGCGTAGAACACATCGTATGCGTCACATCTCCTTGTTGCCGAATGTCTCGAGCGATGGATCCCCCGCCTCCGGTAGGCCATTTATGGACGTAAACACGCTTAGAGAACGCGCCGCCGCTAAGATCCAGGCTGGCTACCGCGATTGGCGCACCCGCCAATGTGTAAAGTCGCTGATGGCCGCCAACTGTCCGTTGGGTGCGTCCGGCGTCAGTCCGGCCATCTCGATAACTGAGAGCGGGGACGAGGAGCAGGCAGCCTCGCATATACAAGCTGGTTACCGCGGCTGGAGGGCACGTCGCACACTAAAACACTCGCTGTCAGATCCCAACAGCGAGGCACTGGCGCTCGCTAAGAACCTACAGCCGAATTCAGTGTCTAAGGTGGGCGCTAGCTCCGACTGGGCCGCCATTCATAATAGCCTGACGCTACCAACGGAGGTCGTGACACCAGGGATTGAAGACGAGACGCCGTATTCTGCCCAGACCATTTGCTCTGAGGTCGTTACTGGAGGTGGCACGTCGCGGCTGGAGCATGGGGACATGACGTCACATGTTGTTCAAGGCTTGTGCGATAACATGTTTACTTCTTCAATTACCGAACCTTTTTCAGCCACTAAAACTGCAGGTGACACGCCTCAAACAAATATGAAAAGGACAGAAAACTTGGTATCGGGGCAGCTGGCTGCCACAACATCTTGCAATGATTCCCTGCAGGTGCGCCCCACCGTGTCAGCGAAGTCGGTGATGGACAGCGGCGCGCTTCCAATCGACTTCGCTATCGTGCACAGGCCCGAGGACGACTGGTTGACGCAGGACCTGATAAAGATCGAGGCTGAGAAATCTGTCACCAGCAGGCGAGACTGTTTCTCTCGCGAGACTGACGAGAAAGTGGATGCCTCGACAGGAGAAGAGCTTGACACCAAAAACGCTAATGACACCCTGCCCGGCAGCGCTTCAACCACGGGCAGCTCCTCCAGCTGGCTGGCACATGCACAAACGGAAATACAGGCTAGCTTTCAAGGCCTGCGTGATAACGTGAACGACGCATTGAGGACGGTGGAGGACACTGCCCGTCTGGTGCAGGAGAACGACGTCACCTTGGAGAATGTAGCAACGACCGACAGAGACTGCAAATGCCGGAGCGTCAGAATTTGAATTTGGCATGCAGTACTCAGTAATATCGCCAGCCTTACGTTATGGGTGCCCGGTGTGCTTTTTGAAGTTGACAACTCACGACTTGATTCGTGACAGGCGACTGCAATCAAATTTGCGCTGTATTTGCCTTGCATAGCGTCCCATACAGCTTTACTGGAGGCGCTGCGGATTTCGAGCGTGCATAATGTTCTTCGCCGTGCTTTGTTCAATACATTTCAGATTTCAGGGACGCTTTCCGCGAGGAGCATCACCTCCGTCGTGTTTTATTGGGTGCGGTTAGTTTTTTTTTACATCAAAGTTTTTGTTTTGCCGTTTTAAGACGTTTTTCGGCGCACTGTTGTTGAAGTCATATTTTACAACTATTTTCGACACGCAAAACTGCTGCAATTTTTACAACTCTTTTTTTTTACATATTTGGTGGAGTGCTGGGCTGAGCATTGTTAGAAGGAAAATAGTTATCATTGAGATATAATAGCCTTTGCTCATATTAAGTTCCGAATGGTAAATGAAATGCAAAATTCTTTGAAAAATAGGTACCTTTATTTCGTCCATGGGACTTCTTCAGGGTCACAATCAAAAGGTGTTACGGTTACAGAGAAAAGTGGGTTTTGAATTTTAAGATAACACAGACACGACACGCGACATACATGGCAAATACCACCGTTTCAAAAGTATCGGATACGGACACATGCATGCAATCCAAAATAACGTAAGTACAGAGTGTCAATAGTCGAACAGTACTGAACCTGTGAAACTTAAATGGAGTAGGTACCCTAACACTGCAAATGAAGACTACGCAAATGAAAACTACGCAACTATATTCTCAGCTTAGTGCCCAGTCAAATAATGTGGCACTACAGCCATATCAACATAAATAAGATGATCGACAGACATGAGATTCGGACACAATAAAGAGATGAAACAGAAGCAGAAAATGTCAGCACATAAATCGGGATCATTGCTGGCTATACCAGCGAAAACAGCATAATCATACACTAACAATTCAATAGAACATACATGCAGAGCGATGGACGAGTCTACTTTAGCAGTAGGTATAGGCCAAGTATCGACTTGACTATTTAAGAGGGGTTGTCTGTCCCGGATAGCCAGTGCCTCAGCAATCTTGCGGTCCGCACCATCTTTGTTCCGGCGGAGGATAGCTATTGAAAGCTGAGGTACTGGTGCATCAGGGTGACTCTCTCTCATGTGGTCCCCAAAGGGGGTCTGTTTGCGTGCGGTTGACTGCATCTCTGAAGTGCTCGTCAAATCGGTACCGCACGCAGCGCCTTGTCTCACCAATGTATGTTTGTGGTGGGGAACATCTTTCACATGAGATCTCATAGGTCACGTTTTTGGTTGTACATCGGCCACGAAGTCCGCTGTCGCAGGTGCGGCATGAACGGTTGCCAGCTCGGCATGGTGTTGGGTCTAGGGCAGAATGTACTAGTCGCTTTGTAAGGGTATTGTCGTTTTTCCAGGAGGCGGTGATGTTGAAATTCGCTGATTTGAGGGCCGAAACTACATTCCTTGTAAGGTTGTCATCAATAAATGGGAGAGACATGAATATTTTGTCATTCTTTGATTTCACTCTGTTCACTTTGTTTTCGTGTTGCTTGCGCGTTTGGCGGGCTACCCCGTTCAGCCATCGTGGTGGGTACCCATTGGCAAGGAAAAGGTGTTTCATTTTGTCTGTGCTGCGTCTGGCGCTTGAGGGATCGGATGACACTTATCCCGCGCCCGGCTGGGGGTCCTGGATTTCCACGCCCTGCGGGGGGGGGGGGTGTTTGAACCCCCCCTTCTAACTCGGCTCCTGGGCCACGTAGCGATACGCGGAAGGCGGCGTTCGAAAGAGCGTCAAAAATAACGAGGAAATCACTCCGGTCAATTTTTTGGTCAGGTCAAAGGTCAGGCACCAATGTCCGTGAACTTTGCGACGTATACGTATACGCATTCAGCGACGAATTCCAAACCACTTCAAATTCACGGCATGGGTTAAATTGACCATGCTGAACACGAATATGATATTTATTTTAACTTTTGAGCTGATCTTCATGGTTAAAATCCGTTTAAATGACGGGGAACCACATAACGTCGCGAAAATAAAAACCCACGAATTCCAAAAAATGTGCAAAATGTAGAGCTCATCCAGATCTAACGTCCTTGGGAGAATCCAAGCTCGTGGCTCCTTAAGTTCATGGTTAATATCTGGTTTAAATGACGGGGAACCGCATAACGTCGCGAAAATAAAAACCCACGAATTCCAAAGTATGTGTAAAATATAGAGCTCATCCAGATCTAATGTCCATGGGAGAATCCAAGCTCGTGGCTCAACGCCTTCATGGTTAAAATCCGGTTTAAATGACGGGGAACCGCATAACGTCGCGAAAATAAAAACCAACGAATTCCAAAGTATGTGCAAAATGTAGAGCTCATCCAGATCTAACGTCCGCGGAAGAATCCAAGCTCGTGGCTCTTTAACTTCATGGTTAATATCTGGTTTAAATGACGGGGAACCGCATAACGTCGCGAAAATAAAAACCCACGAATTCCAAAGTATGTGCAAAATGTAGAGTTTATCAAGATCTAACGTCCGTGGAAGAATCCAAGCTCGTGGCTCAACGCCTTCATGGTTAAAATCTGGTTTAAATGACGGGGAATCGCATAACGTCGCGAAAATAAAAACCCACTAATTCCAAAGTATGTGCAAAATGTAGAGCTCATCCAGATCTAACGTCCGTGGAAGAATCCAAGCTCGTGGCTCAACGGCTTCATGGTTAAAATCCGGTTTAAATGACGGGGAACCGCATAACGTCGCGAAAATAAAAACCCACGAATTCCAAAGTATGTGCAAAATGTAGAGCTCATCCAGATCTAACGTCCGTGGCAGAATCTAAGCTCGTGGCTCTTTAACTTTATGGATACCCAGTAAACATGCCGACGTCGGCCCGACGTCGGCCGAACGTCGGCAACTCGGCATCGGCATACCGACGTCGGCCCGACTTCGGTCCAACCTCGGCACGACGTCGTCTGGATGTCGGATATGCCTGCATGTACCGACGTCCAGCCGAGGTCCAGCCGACGTCGGGCCGACGTCGGACCGAGATCAATTGCTGAGGTCCAGCCGACGTCGGAGCGACGTCGGACCGACATCGGCCGCTGTTTTGACCGTTAAAATGATATAAACTACATGTTTCGTGTTTCATAAAGAGCTTCTGTATTCAAAATATCCTCAGGAAACTCAAATCTTCCTCCACGCCGCAACCCCCTGATCCGGACTGGACGGGAAACTTTATCCCATTTGGGATTGCCCGTAAGCCGAGCTCGCCCGTAGCCGGGTGCGGTGAGTGCTTGGGGGCTGCTCGGCCTATCCTTTGGTCAGCCTCAGCCCCGGCAACTCACCAGGGCCGGGCCCAGTTCATATAGAAAGGCCAGTCGGCAAGTGCCACTTTGCCAAAGTGCCACTTATCAAAGGGACACTTTGGGAAACGTTGGTGCAGGTGTGTAAGAGTGGCTATATGAATCCATTGCGGGGTCGCCCTTTCCAATAAGTGTCACGTAACAGCAATGGGACCAGGGACTCTATATGAACTGGACCCAGGGTGCTCGCCAAGCAGACCAATGTCTCCATCCTATCATCCTTCCGGCTCTGAAATGGTCTTGTCAGACCGAAAGGGCATAACCCAACAAAACAAACTAAATCCGTTATCTGGCTGCGTGGTGTAGTGGTTAGCGCACTAACCTCGCGTTCAAATGACACGGGGTTCAAATCCCACCGCCGGCTGGTGCTTTTGGCGTGTTGTCCCAGTAAACATGCCGACGTCAGCGACTGGGGGGCTCGAATCCCGCCGCCGGTTGATATTTTTGGCACGTTGTCCCAATAAACATGCTGATGTCGGCCCCGTCGGTCCAACGACAAACGATCTCGTCAACCTCGGCAAACGACCTCGGCCCGACGTCGGCTGGACTTCGGCTGGACGTCGGAACATGCGGGCATATCCGACGTCCAGCCGATGTCGGGCCGAGGTTGAACCGACGTTGGGCCGACGTCGGGCCGAGCCTCGGCCCGACGTCGGGCCGACGTCGGCATGTTTACTGGGTAATATCTGGTTTAAATGACGGGGAACCGCATAACATCGCGAAAATAAAAACCCACGAATTCCAAAGTATGTGCAAAATGTAGAGCTCATCCAGATCTGATGTCCGTGGAAGAATGCAAACTCGTGGCTCGTTAACTTCATGGTTAATATCTGGTTTAAATGACGGGGAACCGCATAACGTCGCGAAAATAAAAACCCACGAATTCCAAAGTATGTGCAAAATGTAGAGTTCATCCAGATCTAACGTCCGTGGAAGAATCCAAGCTCGTGGCTCAACGCCTTCATGGTTAAAATCCGGTTTAAATAACGGGGAATCACATAACGTCGCGAAATAAAAAACCCACGAATTCCAATGTATGTGGGAAATGTAGAGCTCATCCAGATAAAACGTCCGTAGAAGAATCCAAGCTCGTGGCTCAAGGCCTTCATGGTTAAAATCCGGTTCAATTGACGGGGAACCGCATAACGTCGCGAAAATAAAAACCCACGAATTCCAAAGTATGTGCAAAATATAGAGCTCATCCAGATCTAACGTCCGTGGAAGAATCCAAGCTCGTGGCTCAACGTCTTCATGGTTAAAATCCGGTTTAAATGACGGTGAACGCATAACGTCGCGAAAATAAAAACCCACGAATTCCAAAGCATGTGCAAAATGTAGAACTCATCCAGATCTATTAACCATTAAGTTATAATATAAACCATATTATTATATTATTAACTATATTATTAACCATAAAGTTAAAGGGCCACGGGCTTGGATTCTGCCACGGACGTTAGATTCGGATGAGCTCTACATTTTGCACATACTTTGGAATTCGTGGGTTTTATTTTCGCGACATTATGCGGTTCCCCGTCATTTAAACCAGATATTAACCATGAAGGCGTTGAGCCACGAGCTTGGATTCTTCCACGGACGTTAGATCTGGATGAACTCTACATTTTGCATATACTTTGGAATTCGTGGGTTTTTATTTTCGCGACGTTATGCGGTTCCCCGTCATTTAAACCAGATATTAACCATGAAGTTAAACAGCCACGAGCTTAGATTCTTCCACGGACGTTAGATCTGGATGAGCCCTACATTTTACACATACTTTGGAATTCGTTAGTTTTTATTTTCGCGACGTT